CTTGCCTGGATTATTTGTTTTTTGGGTGTTGAATTTGAGAAGTTCTTTATAGACCTTTGATACTAGCCTTTTATCTATAGTGTCATTTGCAAATATCTTCTCCCATTTCATAGGTTGCTTTTTAGTTTTGTTGTCTGTTTCCTTGATATTCAATTTTATCCAATTCTCATGTGGAATGAAAAACTTAGGCCTTCAGTGTTGGCATTTCCATCCCCTTGCTGTATTTCTAATTTTTTCCAGAGTCCCAGAAAGGGGAGATGGGGCTATCACTCACACAGAGGGTACCCAAGTAAGAGGTGGGGAGCTCTCACGATGTGTTAACCTAGAACCAACAGGTTCTGATATACCAAGGGAAAGACTGCAGTTCTGCCACTGAGGGCTTGGTGCTTGGCTTGCTGGAGTAAGTGCTGTAATGGTTGGCTAACATGTCTCCCTCCCCTGGCTGACTGAGATACCTTCATTCCAAAGAGCAGACTGCTCACACATGTGTAATATGCCCCAGGAGCTGGCCTAGATCCAAAGACTACTGCACAACCGCCCTGTTCCAAACACTTGAGCACTAGCCGTGAGCATGTATCAGCTACATACATCTGAATCACTCACTGCCGCTTCTATCCACTGATGGGAAAGGAAGAAAACCTGACCAAAGCAGCAGCTTTTGTTCTCTTTCTAAAGAAAGAATTCTAGCTTCTTTTGTTCCCTGTTTTTAAAAATTTTAATTCTACTGTGGTTAACACATAGTATTATATTTTTTCAGGTGTACAATATGTGTGCTTAAGATTAATGGGATGTCACTGTTTCAAGGCCTATGGAGGCCAGAACTAGAGAATATATGTATGTTAATCAAACAGGCACACATATACATTTGTGTATATACACAGTTTTGCATCTATTTATTTTTATGTAAAATGTATTTATTAAATATATATTAAATATATATTGAAATAGATATTATTATTAATATATATAGAAAACCAAGAGTTTGTATTGATATATATATCCATTTCCAAGCCAACACTGTAAGTTTCTATTTTTTTAAGTCACAACAAAATTAGAAATAAGAAGTAATATCACACCCCTTCTTTCCCTTGAAACACTTGACTTTGTTGCTGTCATCAGTTTTCCTCTTTTGGATAAGAAGTTCATGACTATATTCATGCATTTATCTGATAGCCATTTCCCTTAAAAGATACTGCTTCCTTCAGAATTAGCTCCCTGTAGCTTTTCTTTCTCCATGTTTCTGATGATCTGTTTTGAAATTCTTTTTTTTTTTTTTTTAAAGATTTTATTTATTTAATTGAGAGAGACCACAAGAGAAGAAACACAAGCAGGGGGAGTGGAGAAGGAGAAGCAGGCTTCCCCCTGAGAAGGGAGCCCGATGCTGGTCTCGATCCCAGAACCCTGGGATCATAACCTGAGCTGAAGGCAGACACTTAATGACTGAGCCACCCAGGTACCCCTGTTTTGAAATTCTTACGGAATTCAAGTTTTGTTTCTTTCCAAATTAGTGACTCCCTTCTCTTAGAGTAAGGAACTTGGCTCTCATTATTCTTATATGTTTATATTCATATAAACATATATATATTCATATATATCTTATATGTTTGATTTATCATCCTGTATGTAACTAATCTCTGATCTTCAGCCCCACCCTACCTATATGTGGACACTCTTCTTTCTTTGCTTGGGGTCTGCTCCTTATTATAGGTTGCAACTCCATGTAGATACCGTCCTCACTTAACTGTGGCTCTGAATTCCCACACCAACCAGCCCATGCATGCAGATGCCCTGGGACCCTTCTTGGTCTCTAAAGGAATGCCCTCCTCTCCCTGCTCTGGCTTTGATTTCCCACAATTGGCTCTCTCTTGCCGGAAGGTCTTCCTCACCCCTTGGTTGTGAGGCTGTCCCTCCCCATCACATAGATGCCTCATTCACTCTTCTTGGAATCTGACATCTCATGACAGGCTCTCTAACACGCTTTGCCCTCCCCTATTGGGCTGTGACATCTGCTCTGGTCTATTGCTCATCTCTACCCCCACTATAGACACTGCCTTGTTCCTCTTCAACTAATGACTTTAGGGCTGAAATTTTCAGGAAGGGAAGGCCTTAGCTAGGTTGTTTAAAATATGAAGAAATGGAGGTTCAGATGCTTATGTGGCTTGTCCAGGGTCACTGAGCAAATGAGACATTGTCAGTACAAATTCAGGTATTCCTGAGTATAAGCTGTGTGAGGGCTGATACTTGCCTCTCTTGTTCACTCTGTCATCCTCAGTACCTAGCACAGTGTCTGTATTGAGGTAGAACAAATGACAAATGAATTATTCCCTGTTCAGATCTTTTCCTTTACCTGTTCCTTTTTGTGATCTTGATATATGTGTGTGGGCATAAAATTGATGTCTATATATTTGTTTATAACCAATAGAAATTCATGCCCTTATATGAATGTCAACATCTAAATATCTGTTCCTAGGAATTTATTCTATTCCATAAATTTCTTGAGTTCCTAGCTGGATAGTTGGCATATAAATGAAAATATAAAAGTACTAAGAAGCTACAGCCATTATAACATCTCAGGATGCCAGCACTTCCATTGAGTAAGGAAGAGAAAATGTCTGAGAACCACCCAAGTCAGTTTTTCAGTCACCAGACTACAGCCCTTTCAAAATATTTGAAATACAGCAAGTGAAAAATACCATCACCATATGGCTGACGTGGGCACCATGATCATCAGTTCCTTTAGTTACTCCGCTCAACTAAGTAAGACCTTTCTGCATATAATCATGCACGGCAGGGTCTCCAAAACACATTCTGAAAAATTGCTATCTCTGCAAAATTCTTGAGAAGGGTATTCTGTGGTCAACACTGGGATCTCAACAATTCACAATGTATGTGAGCATATTACAGGCTCTCACAGGGGCTCCTAGATGGCTCAGTCAGTTGGGAGTCTGCCTTCAGCTCAGGTCATAGTTCTAGGGTCCTGCAATCGAGTCCTGTGTTGGGCTCAGTGAGGAGTTTGCTTCTCCCTACCCATCCCCTGCTCATGCCTGTGTTCATTCTCTCTCTCTCACTCTGAAATAAATAAACAAAATCTTAAAAATAAATAAATAAATAAATAAATAAATAAATAAAGGCTCTAGGAAATTCTAGAGTTGAAGAAAACTATAACCTTTATGTAACCCAATGTCATTCAAATTTGCATAACCGGAGAGCTCCTGTTTAGAGTAATACCCGCCCAAGTCTCATTTCCTCATTCATACAACGGGCAAAAATACCTGTTACAGGATAAATGAGATAAAGATACATAAAGTGCATAGCACAGTGTTTGGTTTATTCTAGGTACTTTGTAAGTGCTACTTCCTTTTCTTAGATATTATTTATTTAGAATGATCCATTTTGTTGTTGAAAGAATAATAGATATATTTGTTATTATTATAATTGAAAAAATAGTAAATGCAACAGTTAAAAACTTCGAGTCATAAAGGGTATAAAATGAAAAATGAGTTTCAGACTCCTCTCAGACCACCAAGAGGAATTATTTTTAATGTACCCTTCCCAATATTTTCAGTGCATATGCATGCAGACAGCCCAGAAACAGATTTCTAAAAATCTCTTCACGGCAAGTGAAACGATTTGAATTCATTTATGTTGTGCAGCTGCAGCAGTACCTCTAAGTTCTTCCATGTTGGGGTAAATCGATGTGTTTTTCTGAACTCCTTGGGTGGGGCAAAGGTTAGAACCTATGTTCATGTCCCCTAAAGCAGTATTTTGATAAAGGAAGTATTAGAGAGAATAGGGGAAACATAGAGTTGTTTTGGGGATTGAAAAAGTCAGCTTAAATGTGTCCTCTTTTGTAAAATATTTCTTAATCCACCACGAACAGGACTCTGATTGAAGTGAAGAATATTCATTCTTCCATTCTTTCAGTTAATGATGGAGCAGGGGTGGGGGGAGAGAACATGAGAGCCTGGGCAGGGGAGGGTCAGAGCGGCAGCTGCCAAGATACCTGCTTACATTGATCTGGATGGTGAACTAGCCTGCTAGGGCAGTTGCAACAAACCCAACTGAGTGGCTTAAGCAACAAAAATTTATTGTCTCACAGTTGTGGAGGCTAGAAGTCCAAAATCAAGGTGCCAGCAGTGTTGGTTCCTTCTGAGGGCTTGGAGGGAAGGCTCTGTCCCAGGCCTCTTTCCTTGGCTTGTGGACAGCCATCTTCTCCCTGTGTGTCTTCCTAAATTCTTTCCTGTCTGCATATCTCTGTGCAAATTTCCTCTTCTTAGGACACCAGTTTCACTGGTTTAGAGCCTGCTCTCATGGCCTCATTTAAACTTGCTCATGTCTGTGATGACTCTATCTCCAAATAAGGTCACATCCTGAGTCACAGGGATTAGAACTTCAATATAGGAATTTTTAGGGAGATGCAATTCAGCCCTTAACAGGTGGATTGCAGTACTGGGATTTCGTGCTTTTCAAAACTCACCTGAGCTAGTAAAGCCCAGTCACCAACTGCAGCTTTCAAAATGTGGGTTCCTTTAAAAAGGTGCAAGGACTACAAATGTGTGTGTGGCACTGCTTAAACCCCTTGTTGACAAGAGGGTTCTGTGTGGCCTTAAGCAATTGTTAGTCTACTTCTGCTAGATCCCCCTAAAACCAAAGTGTAAGAAGGTGACTTGGTTTCTTTTTTTATTTTTTGCTCCCTTCCCCACCTTCTTGCTTATCTGAACATTTATACTTTGGCCCTGTTAACTATACCCTCCCTTTCTTCTTTATGACGCTCAGTTATCTTCTCTTCCCATGATTCCAATCTCTTTTTTCATATTCTCATTCAGTGAAGGATGAGGAAATAGCAGTGAGAGCACGTACCTTTCATTAGATGATTCAAACTGCATCCTGCCTGATTAACCTAAAAAGTCCTAAGAAATGAGGAATTCTGCCTGACAGATCGCTGAAAGGAGGAATTATTTTTTATGTTTTAGAATCATTTCTGATTCACCTTCTTGGCTCAAGAAGAAAGACACTAGTTGTTTTTTGCCAGGGGTAGATTTGTGGCTTCCATGGCTTCCTGCCGGGCATGTGACCTCAAGGTGCTAGTGGCCATTGTGTGTGGACTGCTGACGACCATTGTTTTGGGACTGGGCATCTGGACGACTGTGATTAGAATCCAGAAAGGTAATAATTGTTTATGGTTAACTATGTTATGTTTTTCTTTAACTTGTTACGTTGAACTCAAGTCAAGAGAAGGTATTGAGCCTCTGTCCCTGACACCTAATGCACCGGTACTACAAATAGCCATGTCTGGGCTGAGGCTGCCCACCAAGGTGTAATGTGTGAACTACAACAGGCAAGGGTCCATGGATGACTAGCACATAGTGGCACACACATGACTATGAATATCTGTGTGTGAGTGGGCAGGGTGAGGAATTACCTACTTTAATTAGCCTCTTCTTGTTGTTTTAACTCCTGACTGGATACCAGCTTAATTAAAATCATTAAGAACACATGTTTGGGTTTGTTTAGCTAAATCGAAGAAAGATAAATAATTATGGACACACACAGATGGACGCACTTAATCAAACATGTGCGGAATGGAATTTCATCTCAAGAAGAAAGTTTAGGAATGTTCTCACTAGGATTGTTAATAAAATCTTATGGTTTGTGCACAAAGTTCTCACTTTCCAAGTGTGAAAAATGACTTGAAAATGACGATTACTTAGAAAATGATTTTTTCTGGTTGTTCAACAAATACTTGTTAGTAAACGGCTATGTGCTAGAGCTGACCCTGGAAGGTGGGAGGGGGAGCAGTGGTGTGTAAAACAATGGTGTTAGTGGAACCCCCCCCCCCCCAGAAACTCACAACAAAGACTTTTTATGACCCCAGAGCTGGTTCCCTTGGGCTGCACAGGTTCTCCATAAAGGGATTCAAAGCTGGGTGTGCTGAGTATTCCCTTCTGAAACAAACAGAGACAGACTCTAATAAAACTGAATAAATATGGGTAAATAAAACCCATCCGCAGGGCAGAAAGAGGGGTGATCTGCCCTCGAGAAGGTAACTGAGGTGGACAGAAGGTTGGGAGAGCAGGCAGAAGTCCAATGGATAGCTGCAAAGATCCACTGTTGGGGACAAAAGAAGGTAAATATATTAGCTGTTGATGGAGTGGTAGCTGAGAAGGGATCTGATTGTCCTTCCCTCTCCCATCCCTCAGAACATCATTTACAAAATATTGTACTAACAGGATTTGGATAATTAGCATGAGAAAATTTGCCAGAACAAAAACAATAAAATTTAAGCTTGAGAAAATGTGTTTTTGATTTGCTTATTTCTTTATTTGTTGGTTTAAGTTTTGTTTACAGTTAAAAAAATTTATGAACTAGAGGTTTCACCCTATTAAGGCTGCTAAATTTGTAAGACTTTATTTAAAGAGTATATTTTCAAGGAATCTTTGTTTCCTTCCTCTCTCCCTCCTTTCCATTATATGACATCTACTTTAAAAGGGAAATTTGTGGTGAGTAATAAAGGACATAGGTACAATAGAACCATTAAAATAAGGACCAACATATAAAACATTATAAGGAAGAAAACAGAGGAGTTGCTAAAAACAAATACAAAACATAATCCCTGAGACATATCCCTGAACTTCCTGAGGGCTAAGACTTCAAATGAAGCATAATAAACAACAAAAAACCCCTGTTTAACCCTTGTTTAACCCTTTTGTTCAACGGTAAAAGCATATCAGCTCCTCAAAAAAGAGACAAATGTGTTCTTGCTCTGAATTTTTCTTAAAAAATGTTTTATTTGATTGTAGTTGACATACAATGTTACATTATTACATTAGCTTCAGGTGTACAAATGATTTGACAAGTTTATGATTTATGCTTATCTCATTTAATCCTAACAACTACCTTTGAGGCAGTTATTACTATATCCATGAAATTGATGGGGAAAAGGCTCAGAAAATGTTGTCAAACTTACTTAGCTAGAGAGTGTTGGGTCTGGATTTAAATCTAGATTATTCTGACTTTAGTTCCTTCCTTTTCACTCCCCGCATATTCTGTCTTCCTAGAGGAATGACAAGGGTAACTCAATCAATGAATTTGTCTGTCTCTCCTTTTTTTTTTTGGGGGGGGCATCTTTGCCCAAAAACCCTAATTCATAAAGATAAGCAATAACCAGTAGAATGTTTTGCTAGGCAAGGTTAGGCACTTTGGTAAGTCACATTGTTTGTCTTCAAGTCAATAAGATCTACATTATTAATGCTGCTTATAAAATGTAGATTAATATGTTCACTTTTCAGGTTTTCTGAGTCTTTAAATGGTGTTTATAGACTTTTGGAGTAACTGCTATAATTTTCCACGTTCTTTTAGGTCTTGCCAAAATACTTCCCTAAGCTTCGCAAAATTATATGATTATCTGCTGTTAAACTTCTAGTCTAGAACAGTGAAAGAGACTATATTCAGACTGTGTTCTTGGAAAACTGCTCATGTTCTAACAGCTTTCCTCCTGGTGACTGACTTAATGGAAAGCTTTCTCACATTCACATAAGCCCCAATATCTACTGGCCATCAAACAAGCCATGAATGAACTTATCTTTAATTATCCTAAGTATAATTATTCATTTTTTAAGATAAATCATTCATTTAAATATCAAACAAGTGGTTCGAGACATAATCTCTAGAATGCCAATGATCTTCTGTGTAGTATAGAAAAGCTTTTAATTCTCCTCCTCCTGCTTAATAAGGCCTCTGGTGAAAGGTCATGATTTAAAGCCCTAGTGCAAATGAAGTTGATAGCATTTCATGGAAGCAGAGAGGACTTCTTCCAGAATTGCCAGAATAATATTTGGTATTTTTATACCACTGATGAAAACATTAAATAATAATGATCTTTTTTTTTTTTTTCCACCAAAGCATCACAATGAGATACATTGTCAGGTATAACACTTTCTCCATCTAGGCTTTCAGGAATAAGATATCCTATGCTTCTGAAGTTTTGTTTGGTAAAGAAAATTTTCAAAACTATTGATGACTCTTGTAATTTCCAAAAGGAGCTCTAGTCTTGTAGTTCTTCTATGATGATGTCAGTTTACTGGAACACTCTTCATCCAGAGTTTCGCATGGCTGTCTCTTCGATCATATAGGTCTCAGGTAAAATGTCACCTCCTCAGAGAAACCTTTTTATCCATTCAGTCTAAGGTTGTCATTCTATTTGCTCTCTTTTATGTGTAGTTTGTTCATGGCTTTTATCATCTGATAATCTCTCACTTAATTCTACTTGTTTGCTCAATGTCTCCCCATTCCTAGAATAAAAGCCCCAAGAAAGCAGTGAACTGACTTATTAATCTGCATTCCCTGCACCAAGCAGAGTACTTGGAATATAGTTGCCAATACATACCTGATGAGCAAATGAAAGAATCACATGAAAACAAGAAACTGGACTAAACATTGTCAAATAGTTGCCTTCAGAAATGAAAGAATATTGCTCCCAATTCCTTGTAATTTGTGTCAAAATATTAAGATAAATGTTATTATGGATTGGTTTTCAGCAGTTAAGAAACCACCATTTTAGTTTTCTTCCTCTGTTCCAAGCCATGCAACACTCTAACCATTTCCAGAACTTGGGCTTCATTAAGATCTCTCCAGTCGTGTATGGCCTCTTTTGTTTGGCAGTGTGATCAGCAATCTTGTAGGATGCTTTCATGTTGGAGCAAATCAAAGTTTTGCCAGAACTCTAATCTTTTCACATTAAGCATTTTATCAAATAATATGCACCGTGAGTAATGTGTTTTCAGAAAGGACAACAATAAGGTGTTCTATCTCTGTTGCCTTTGTGTTCCCAGTAGCAATGTAACCTTGTAATTTAAGAAGCAGCATGGCTTTTTGGTCCAATCATACTTGATGAAAGTAAAATGAAATATAATTAAGTTTCACTGTAGATCTTTCTCTTGACATTTTCCAACTTGAACTAGGCCTGATGTAAACATAGACAGATGTCCATAATCATAACATAGGGGATGTTTTCCTCAACTCTTAGGGAGAATAGCTTTTCATAACATATTAGCATTGATGAGAATGCCTTATTGAACCATATCCTGTTTCTCTTCTAGATTATAAAATTCTTCTCTGCCATCCCGTGTGCCTTTCCAACCTCTCTCCAGATGCTCTGACCTTCATTTCCTATCACAGGATTCACTTATGCTTCAGGCCAACAAGAGACTTTAAGAGGTTGTAATATTCCCAAACCCCAAGGTCAAACTTCATAGCATTGAAATTCTTGCACAGCAGAAAATGCGGATTGTGCGGAAATGTCAAGGAGAGTTTATTGATTCTCAGAAAATAATTTGTACACAGATGCTTGACTTTTGTTATACTCAATTACAGTACTTCCTCAAGTGGCAAACTTGATAATAAATCAAATTCATGGAACTGCTCCTGGAGTACAGTTTGCATTTGGGGGTTCAAAAAAAAAAGGTCCAGGTGGAAAAGACAGCTATAGCATTATTTAGTCTTATCTCTATTTTGCTCCTTTACCAGTCTCCCTTCTCACTTCCTCATGTAACCACTCTCTAAATCAAAGCAAACCAAAGCAAACCAAACCAAACCAAAACAAATAAATCAATTACTATGAAAGGGAAGGAAGTTGTTTTGGAAGGAATAAATTTTGTTATGTAATTGGCTGAGGGACATGAATTATTTTAACATCACTGACGTTTAAATTGCTGATCCCGTTATCAAAGTCACTTTCTTAAACTAAGAGGCTAGGCCCTTGGCTTAGTGGATTTTTCCTTGATTTACAGGTATTAGTTTTCCTTAAAATTCTGAATACAACCACCACCCATAGATCTTTTGATAATATATTTCTTGAAGAACATTTGGTAGAAAATATGGTGGTTAGGAGTGTGCACATTGAGAATCGGGGTGGGGGGGGAATACAGATGTAGAAAGAAAGAAGAAGTTCTAAATCCTGACTGCCTTGTTGAAACACAAATGTCACCACTTATCATCGGAATAAATCTGAGCAAGTTATTCAACATTTCTGCACTTCAGATTTCCTATTAAGGGAGCAATAATATACCTAACTTACAGAGCTGTCATTAAATGATTTAATGAGTTAATTACAAGTTTAAGATGACATATAAGGGTGCCTGGGTGGCTCAGTGGGTTAAACCGCTGCC